TCGATTTACCGTTTTTAATATTTCCGATCTAAACCAACAAGACAACGAACTCGTGGCGCAGTGGGTTAGGTTGGTAGAATTCTAACCAACGGCTCGTTTGTTCAAGCCTCAGGTAGTGTACCACCTAGGATTAGATAGAACTGACTGATGATGGCCACTAAGCCTGAACTGACCGTTTCACTCTCCCAATCCTTTGTCGGTAATGTCATTCTACCGTTCCACTTCCTGGTCAGGGGTTGACGGTTATATGCCTTGTGACCCGTAGGTCATATATATTATGCTCAATGTGAACAATCCGTTCGCCTTTAATGGTAAGCTTTCTCCTGCAAATCGGAGTATAGAAAGAAAGAAAGACTGGTATATTATTGAACTTAGTTTTACATGCGGCAGAAAAACTGAAATGGAGTATGGTCGCAGTGTGTAATCATGTACATGCATTTGTACTGTGCCTGTCATATGTACCGGTTCTTTGTGCCGGGCGTCGTAGTCGGCACGCTCACACAATGTGGACAAAGACGACCCTACAAAAACACACTGAAAACTTCCCTCTAATAGCTTTAGCTTAACGAAGAGGCTTGAGAATAGCTTGCAGAGAATGAGCAAGCATGAAAAACAGCCATCAAATAGAAAAAACCATCTTCCGAGTCAGAGTAGAACAGAGGGAAACCGGCAGTTAGGAAAGCTGGAAGGCCACGACCACTCAACCCCTATCAATCTGCCCTCATTGTCAGCCTATTTTTGCCACGCGCATTGGCCTTGTTGGACATGTAATGACTCATCGCAATTTCCCAACTATTAACCCGCCGTCTTCACAACGAAAAGCAACGGTCCCTAGAATAAACTTCGCTCCCATGAAATGTCCAACATGTGGGAAAGAGGCCGTTGGTGACACGCGTAGGCGCAGACTCAGACCACAACAGCCACCTGGGACCTTTGTGGCACTCCCACTCCATGGGATCTGAGTCAGGCATGGCGACTCCGGCAGCTCACGCCCGAATCCGCCTTCGGCCTTCTTGGCTCT